TATGCCTAAAATGCAGAACTAGCCTGGTATCTGCCTTTTTGTGGTGTATGTCTACAGTTGCATATGATGTCTACCTTGTCTTCCTTATTTGGAGAAACATTTGCAAAAAGTTGGCTACATAAGAAGCATGCTGAGTATTTGTTTTCTTGTTGGGCTAGTAAGTGTGCCCAATTGTTTGATATGGGAACAGATCTATCTTCCATCACTTTTCTTCCTGGTACTGGTCAAAGGTGATGTCAGTCCTTTCAGAGTTTCTTCCAGCATGAAGTACAAGTGTGGCAAACACCCACTCCCAGTTCACCAAATGCTGTGACTCCTGGAGTTTTTCCCATTTGTCATTACTAGAGATTAGACATCTATCATTAGACAGGAAGTTCCATTAAAGATCACTTCTTGTGGACAGGCCAAACTTTCTGTCATCACATCTGCTAGGAAAGATTTGGTGCCAGTTCTCAGACTGCCATTTGTGTCTGCAAGAGCAACTAGCACAGACATCAGTTCATGTTGTAATATCTTGTGAAGGCCTACTGCCCTACCTGCTTGGTATGCAGTGATGAAACACTAAAGAATATTACTTTCTGCCTTTATAGAGATCATATTACCTTTGTTTTCTTTCTCTACATCATAGAGAGATAAAAAAGTTGGTGTCTTGGTCTTGTGTTGGGCATCTCTGAACTTGACCTTCACATTACCTTCAGCAGGAACAATGAGTGTTTCCTTCACAAGCTGTAATTGTTCCAGCTTCTGGGATTCAAAACAGATTCTTGGATGTCATTAGATGCCAAATGTTTTGTAGCAATATCTGGAGAATATCACAGGATATGTCTGAGGAAAACACCTTAAATCACTGAAGAATTGACAAAACTTAATTTTCATCATCATTGTCCAATTTTATCCTAACTAGATTGGATTCATTTTAAATCATTTACTCATCATGTCAAATCATAAACAATTCCTGGTTTTGCTTGGTGATGTGATTTTCATCATCCTTACAATGCCTCCCCATTATTCAAGCACGTTTCTGTGATCAGGGATAACCTGGTTGAATCTTTGGTTTAATTCCTTAACAACAAAGTTTCTTTGATAAAACTTTTCGTGGACCTCATGAGGGAGGTGATACACTTTGGGTAAGTACTTTCAAACCCACATGAATGATTAGAAGCATTCTCAAAAAAGTATACTGATTCATCTCCCATTAGCCATCTCATGGGGCCTTGATGAATAGAAGGAATTTACAGACCATGTCTGTATTAGAAGTTGGATCCCTCCTCTTTGTTAAGTACAAAACTTGGTAGATGTAGAGTGAGCTTATGTACACGTACTGGTTTGGCATATGATTTCACAGCCTTTGCTCTCTCCCTTTTGAATTTCATCCCCAAATTTTGTTCTTTATCCAGACTTCTTGTATCTGTTGCCCCAAGATCTTTAGGAATGGAGACTTCTTGAGCATGGAATCAGAACATCTTTATTTCTGATTTCCCCTTTGGTTTAGGTTGTGTCTCATAAATTTCTTTAAGCAACTTGGGTGGTATTTCTCCTAAAGAAACACTGGGATTATTCACACCCACTACATTAACACTTACATGCTGCTCATTGATGGAATAAACAAGCATTTCAACCTGTAGGGCAGGAATGGCTGCAAAATCTTGAAGGAGATAATCTAGAAAGTGGAGCATAAGCTGTATGATCACATGAGCTTATGGACAGGGTTTCTTTGGACTCTTCACGTTCCGTATTCTCCTGAGGATGATGTGAATTGATGTCGAAACATGTAGAGTGCCTTTTAAGACTGTTGTTTGGTCTTAGAATAAAGATTTTAATTGTGTAACAAACAATGATGATCATTTGAGTGTTTTAATATTTCTCTTTATTTTACCTTATTCTGTGTAACTGACATAACAATCTGAAATGGCCTAAGGAACTGGTACTACTCTTGTCTCTGACAACACCATTATATTTAAACTCCCATAGCTTCTGGCTTACAGTGGTTGCATTTTGTATTGGAGCATCAAACAGTACATCAGATTTTGATTCCTGAAAAATGATACACAACTCACAAGACCCGGGAGTAGATATCTTTAGACTGACTAATGGTTTCATTGTAGATCTGAGAGGGAAACAAGAATAATACTAATTTTATAAACTTCTAGATATTAAATGTATCACCATGATCATAAATATTCATTTTGTGTAAAACAAACTAGTAACATATATTATAAAATCAAGTCAAGAACTAATCTTTCTACATTTTTCAAGGTAAAAACTTTTAATTCTTTTAGTTCACCCTTTCATGATTACAGTAGACACACTGATCTGTTCATTGTGCTTGTATGTAGGTAACAACTAAATAGGATTAGACACTAGGGCCAAGGTTATATTATTGTTAATTTACATATTAAAAAAATTGAGCTTTGTAAACAAAATATTTAAAAAAATAGTTCACCAACATTTCATGAAAAATGCCCCTCAACTTTAAACATTAACATATATATAAAATTAGCCTACTTGTAATTTAACTCCTAACGCATTTGTTAACTTGAGTTGGTTTTGTTAATTAGGTAAATTATAAAACAGTAATAACTCCCAATAAATGTAAGTTTCTTTCATATTCCATTTGCTACATTCAGTATAGAAGAAAATGGGTCTATAAAAATATTTACTGAATTTGAACTGGGCAATTTGTGGAATTTGCTAATTGATTAATCATTGGGCTCATTAATGATTTACTTTCAACTAATTAATTATTCTCACATGAGATGGATGAAAAAACATAAAACAACTTATAATGCTAAAAATTGGCATTTAATACCCATGATGGGCAAAGCACAGACAGCCCATTGTATAGCTATATATTAGATCGTCAAGAAATTAATGTCCCATTTTGGAACACTTTAATCCCCCCCCCCCAATAAACATACATCACATATAATTGTTAGTGTAGCCTTT